TCCCCCACTGCGTTGATCTAGCAGATCTTCGCTTCTCTCTCTCTCTCTCTCTCTCTCTCTCTCTCCCTCTCTCTTAATCTCTTTCCCTTTTCCTACAGCGTTTCCTCTCTGACAGCTCCATTCCGATTTTGTTCCTCCACCATCGCGCGAATGTTACGCATTTTTTTCTCTTCTTCGTTTGGTTAGTGGATTTTGTGTTAATTTCTTCGTGCAGGATGGAGACGACACGATGCGCTCCGGCGCGGCGATGCGTCAAGCGAAATTAGTTGCATTGGCTGATGTAAAACTTGATAATGATATGCTGATTGTTATACATATTATCGGCCATGACAAGCGAAAGATGTTAATTGTGACATATCGGCAATGTTATCTGAAGCGTATTTCCGTTGAGTTGCGGTCGCATGTACTTACATTATTATGAACACAGCAGATACAGATTGATTCAGAGTGCTAAATAAGGACGAACGAATTTTAACCTGTCAATTTGTCATTTATACTCGAATACATTTTTCTATATTTATCATTATAGCGTAACTGGTTTTGAGAACATTCTCATTTATCTCAACGACCAGACTCTGACAGATTAAATTTCGTTTCAGGAGCTAACTTGTTATCTAACGCATTATCAAACACACGCTCGGCACATATCTTAAATATTTCACTAAAAATCTCAACGCTCGTTAACTGAAATCATTTTTTCATTAATATTCTGTTATTATATAACTTTGAACTTTGAATGTTACACGAGCAACACTGTCGTAGAGACTAGGCAAACACTGATCGATAAATTTCATACATTGATGCAAACATAGTTTCTTGCGTACCAGTTTACCATAAAATTAAGTCGAATGGAAAAAGTTTCCCTAATCAAGCGTTCTGTCTATCTAGATTAAAATAAAGACTCTCGGAATTCTCACGTTGCTTCTTAAGTTCTGAAAAGTCATGCATGCGTGCGTAGGTAAGAACGTGTTATGAATAAAACACCTGCATTTTATTACTCAATTACGTCTATAGCTCGCATTTTAATTTCTAAGCGTATCTTCTGCGGTCGAAGCATCACTTAACAGCGCTGCCTAGATAGAGGAACGAGAATGTAACGGAACAGATAATAACCTCTGCTGGAGCAGGTACTGGGCCATTTGTATCTGACTGGGTAATCCGGTAATGGTGATGATACGATCGTTGCTACCAGACAACGGCTCGTCTATAGTAATACCAGCACCACTGTCCGATCTGATTTTCCGGATTCTGGCACCGCCCTTGCCGATAATGGCACCGGCGAGCTGAAACACACACCGAACAGACATTAGCTACTGACAGACTTGTCTACAGCATTAGTGACTCGTACACAGGATTCTTTAACTGTTGTCCACTTACGTCTTTGGGTATGGTGACCTGGGTGCTAGTCTTGCTGCCACCCATGTTGCCTTGGTTGCCCTGGTTATTGCCACCCATTGGTGGGCCACTCATACCAGAATTTCCTCCACCGCCCAAACCATTTGGTGCTCCTCCTTGCATGCCCCAGCCATCGCCTAAACAAAGTACAGGAATTATTAAAATCATATAATCACTATGATAACTACATCTAACTGTATTAAAACCTAACCAAAGCAATAAACTCAAAATACTGACATGTGGGAATAATAATAAAGTGAAACATTGGAACACTAATTTAGTAGAAGACACTATAGAGCCAAGAAAAGACATACTATCAACTGAAGGATTTTAACAATATATTTAAAACAATGAAGCTTGCAAGAGACAAAACTATACAAGAGAAAGGAGTTGACAAACATAACAAGCTTCAATAAACCTTCAATATATTAACTCTGTGCTCCTATGTCGAGCGTGACTCGACATCAGTTTTATTCACAGGTGTGATTCTTTCTCAAGATATTTTTAAAATGGATTATATTGTTATGTTATTTTCAATATTATTAGTAAGAAGAATCGTTTACACTGCTCGCTAAATATCAAAATGATACTGAGTTATCGAGGAAAAATTGCAAACAAAATTCGGAGTGCAAAGGGTTAATAAAAAAATAAGACAAAACGCTCCGAGAAACTTCGTGGCATTCGTCCCTTGCGATTCTTCAAGCTCGATCTCCTTACCATTATAGTTTCCACCCCCGTAAGGTGGCGGGCCGCTTCTGTTGCCGCCGTATCCACCTCGGCCACCCTCGTAGCCTCCTCCGCCGCCGCCTCCGCTGCCACGATTGCCCCCGAAGCCGCGATCGGGCGGCCCACCAGACATTCCACCTCCACCGCCGCCACCGCCGCCTCCGCCACGGGGTCCACCCCTAGGTGGTGGCGCAAAATCGCGATTCCAGTCCGGTGCAGTGCTGCGGCTGTCGTGTCTCGGTATCATACCGCCGCCGCCGCCACCTCCGCGGCCACCGCCGCCACCGCGACCACCCGGACCGCCGAAACCACCCCCTTTACCCTGGCCGCCCTCTCCGCTGCCATAACCACCGTAATCGTCCGCATAATAGTCGTCGAAGTTGTGAGGGTCATAGGGGTTGTTCACACCCTTCAGTGGAGACTAAACAGAAATAACAATGATGAGAGTTTACTTCGCATTAGAGAATTTGTTTGCAATAAATAGACCTTGGATTTTAACCAATTAACTGTGTTTGACGAGTATACGCGTCATAGAAATGTTAACACTAGAACTACCGAGCATTTCATGCGATTGATGTGTAATCCCTATAAAAATTGTAACAATTTTCGGTTTCTTCTAACGTTCATTGTAGTATTCGAGTGAAACTATTTATTTTCAAGATCATTTCGAATATTCAATGCTTTGGAGATATCAATAATAAAATCAATATCAATAAACAAATGAACCGAAAACAGTCGTTTTGACTGTTACGGTAGGTCTAGCGTTAATGAGTTAACTGTGACGAATATACACGTCATCGTGAAGCTTGACATGATATTAATTCTTTCATGAATTCTTGATTTTTTCAAATAAACATGTAATTCTTTTGTTTCGCTTTGATCAATCATCGAAATATACTCTACGTGCATTCGACCTGCGTTCGACGAGTACACGCTCCATTTTTCGTTTTTATTGCGCGCAGAACCAGAGGTTTTTCCAACTAAATTCCACAGTCAACTTGTTAATTGGATGCTAAACAACTTTTTTGGATATTTACAAAAAATGCGGAAGTGATTGGATGTGTATGCAAAAGAATTAATGAGAGTATTTATCTAATTAGATCACAAATATTGTTATTACAAAAAGATATCGAAAAATAACATTTATTCAAATAAATTCACTTTGATTTATCTCTTGAAGAAAATAGTAAGAAAATTATAATTGACACTGATAACGCGTTCATGGGAAATTTGAAACTGCTAAATTGCCAAAATCCGCAAGAATACATAAAACATTTCCATCTCGCCCGGAATTGGTAAATTATGTTTTATAACATTTGCAAGGGGGAACCATCATTTGTCGTTCTTCTATCTGTTTATAAAATTATCAATTTGCATGCAGATTAATTATATACGACGGATAATCAGCGATGCCGGAGGCGCAGCGAGTACGCACGAAAGGAAAAGTGAAATGTACGAAAACGGAACACAAATGGTTAATGAACTTCCGTTAATATTTACAATTAGTTTGAATTGCAAAGGAGCCTTTGTTCTTTCGCTGAATTTCCCAATACTAGGAGAATCAGCTGCAATTTCACTTTGTAATTCGATTTCATTCGCGAACGCTACTGACGTTATAAAACGAACGACACGGAATCCGATAAATCGGTGACATGAATTTCTCGAACTTACAGTTTTAATAGTTGCGATCAGCTCACGGATGCACTCTATGCACGTGTTCGGTTTCCCGCAGATACTGATCAAACGGTCGGTGCTGTGAGGACAACAATGCGAGTATATTTTGATCCTCGCGCCAGTTTTCTGTAACAGAAACAAAAATCGACATTTAGATTGATCATCTAACAGACACGAAGAAACGCATTTGCTTTGCTTATTTATAATATTATCATATTTATGAGTGGGTATATCATCGATAATTACAGTGTGCAGCGGTAATTATTTCTCAATCTCCTCGTTACAGTGCATATCTCCATTTTTTACACAATGAAATATAACATAGTTTACAAGAAGAACTTTGGATCGATCACGCACGTGCACGTCACAGCTCAGGACGAGCAGATTTAATCTGAGGTGCTCCGAGGCGGAAAGGTTAAGAATACTATCTACTGGGGCGTGTTAACACGTTGACTGCCATAGTCATCGATGACCGGTGATTCCGAATTGCTTACAAACGGTTGCAATACATAACACGATTAACACTAGGTTTACGGACGTATTGTCCGGTTTACTCTGTTGTTCCTAGAAAAATGTTCCATCATTTAGATCTTGGAAATTAGGGATTTAATATTAGGTTATTACGATACGTATTCTTGTAACTGCATCAACCAAAACCGACACGAACGTTTGCCAAGTAATGTTTATAAATTCAGTATGCGTCAAATTGAGGCACTCCGTAAACCTAGTGTTAATATCGAATGTTTAATACAATAACTAGATAGTAGCATAACGTAAGAATTATGATATTATATAATTAATCATTGTTTTAAATTAAGAGTGCCTTCATTAACCCCAAGAAGCATTGGATTTTACTTTTTTCCAGTTTGTCAAGCATACCTTATACTATGCAATGTTATACGATAGCGCATATCTTGAAAGCATTGTAATGAATGCAACATGTCAAGTCAACTGACACTCACAGCGCAAACAATTCATAGAATGAGCAACTAGATAACAATCTAACGTAAGTACAATGCCAAATGATTAACATCTGAAGCCATGAACTGCGAAACAGCGCAAGTCAACCAATCAACATTTCCAGAAAATCAATTCTATTCATCTTCGTCCACTCGTTCACAATCTATTTTATTCATGTCCGATTTTTATCGATGCAGGTATCGGCAACACATACACCTGCGTCACGTGTACACTTTCAATATAACGTATATATTTCGTATCTTTCAAGTTACAATGACGTTAAACTTTCATGCCTGAGCGTACAAAAGTTAACTGATTACTTAATTTTATTCAACACTTCAAGTGCAAAATGAAATAAATCCACAAGATGCCAATACACTAACATATGACTTCAAAGTTACATGGGCCTACAGAGGGTTAATTTCAAAGAACATAGTCTTCGCCTCGTCAAAAAATGTGAAATATTTCTATCGAGAAATTTCCGAGTGCAAAGGGTTTACGACTCATACAGACAACGTTAAAAAGTGGACTGTTCTGGAATTCATAACTTCGATTATTTCTATTGCATAATTCCTCTTAATCTCCGACGCGAAAGAATAAACGATACACAAGACCCCAAGCTGTCCGTGTCAGTGGACGTGTCAAAGATCACGGGGGAGTAATTTCGCGTCTTATCGAGACACCGTGGCGCACCGATCCGATCCGGCGAAAGTGAAACCTCTCGTCGCGTTCCTCGGCTCGATAACTCGCGCGAGCAATTGCTGGCCGACGATGGGCGGATCGCGTGCCACGAGTTGCTTAAACGGTCGAGAGAGCCCCCTCCATCCGCCCGCCGGCCGTCAGTCCGCTCGAGATCGTACCCTCGGAGACAGGGTCGGGTTAAAGGCGGTGAACCTGATCATTCGGTCACCTTTAATCTCTCTTTCGTCCCCCTGCGCTCGCTCGCTCGCTACCCCGTCGGCCGGCCGACGCGTGTTCCGCTCCGGGGAACGCTGCGAACAGTCCCGATGCGATTATCGCGCCGAAACCACCACCCACGCACCCCCGAGAAAACGAAATACATCGTGGTAACTAAAATTAGCGGTCGCTCGAGCTACCCGACGAGTCTCGCTAACTTCGCGACTCGTCGTGACTTTCAACCCTACCGCTGTTACTCCTTGCTCTACATTTACTTTGGCAGGAACGTTCGAGGTGACATTGTGGTTTATCGCGAAATTTTGAAAATTATTTAATCTTCGAGTGAATTTCATTTGTCGGATTAGGTTATCGCGTAGATAACGCGGATTCTCTGTACTCCTTCGGCTGTTGACGAGAATATTTTTATCATCTGATTATCGTGTATTGATACGTGATAGGCGATGGAGGAGGATAAGCGGTAGATTAACCCTTTGAACTCTGGAGGCTCCAATATTGCACCAGTTGTAATATTGAATATTTTAATGAATCTGAAACTACCCTAAAATTATTCGATTTTCCACACATCCGAATTTTGTACTAAGGAAAATAAAAGATCGAAGAAATGTTGCATTTCTGATTTTCGCTAGGAATACTATAAAAATTAGTTGCAATTACTGATAGATTCCAAAACCATCTGGAGTGCTAAGGGTTAAACAAGAGTTCTATTTATATCAATTCTTAACCTCTTAGGCACGATGCGCCACTATAGTGGCTCCCTCGCTACCAATATATCAAACATCATACCCAATCATATTACTAATTATTAAAGTAAATTGTTAAAGTTAAATTACGTGTATCACATCTTTAAGGAAAATGATAATTTCAAAATTCAGCCGTGACTAAGAGGTTAAGTATAAAAGAAGTGTACAGAAGACATGATTAATTTGCATCATTTACCAGGAAATTCCGAGTTCCAATTACGATCAATTACGAAAGTCACCCTTAGCCGTCAGAGTGAATTTTAAACTGGGTAATTAAGGTTGACTCGTGAAATCTAAAATTTAATCGAATTTTTTTATCAGGGTTAACGTGAATTATATGCCGTCGTAATGGGAATTGTTAATTGAACAGCGCCGCGGTGATCTATAAGGTTTTTAACGTCAGACTCCCACCCCGTTTGGAAAGGGGGCCGTGTCCCGGCGAACTTTGAAACAAAGTTGGGTCGCGTGATTTTTTTCCCGGGGGTTGTAGTGTTATTATTCGAGGCGATAAGGGAGCAGAGAGATCGTAACCGAGCCGCGAAACGGTGAGGGAAGTCGGGGGTGATGTAAAGATAACGCGGTGCCCCTTGTTGTTAGGGGCCTAATGGCACGTTTCGCGGCACGGGGAGAGGGCTCGATTGCTTCGAGCCCAACGATAATCGAGTCGAAGGAGTTTCTTGGAAACAACGGACCGAGTAATTTTTCAAATGCTCCTCGCGATGGCTTCCTGGTCGCTCCCGTTCCATCGCGGTTTCGTGTCGATCGATGGCCAGCAACTATAACCCTTTGAACTCTGTAGGCTCCAATATTGCGCCGGGAATAGTATTCGATATTTTAATGAATCTTACGGAAACTACCCTACAACTATCCCTTTGCACTCGAGAGGTGACTCTCAGTCACTTGATTTGATTTGCAAAATTATAAAGTCTTATATATAATATTTGCATGATGCATCAATATATGGAATATTGAAATAAAATAACTCTCACCACTTGATTTCATACAGTAAAACTATAAAATTTGATATTTAATATTGAACTTCGTATAATACATGAATTTGAGAAATATTCAAACAAAATAGCTTTGTCCTTCGATGTAAGTATGATTTCTCGTCTAGTTTCACGAAATATCCTCTCCATCCCATCAGAAAATCTTAAAATATTTCTAATGAAATACTTCCGAGTGCAAAGGGTTAACCCTTAGCACTCCAGATGGTTTTGTAATCTATCAGCAACTGCAACTAGTTTTTACAGTATCCACAGCGAGAATGAAAAATGCTATAACATTCCTTAGATCTTTTATTTTCCTTCTTAGTGCAAAATTTGGATGTGTGAAACATCTAATAACCCTTTGCACTCGAAAGTTTTTCACTAGAAATATTCCATATTCTTCGATGAGATACAGACGATGTTCTTTGAAACTAATTAACGAGAAAACATGTATAAATTAAGTGTGATGCATCGGTGCGTGAAATATTAGGATAAAAAAGCTTTGTTCCTCAATTTACCTTTGATTTCTCTTCGAATCCATTCAAAAAAACCTCGTTTTTGTCTAGTTAGGAAATATTAAGTATTTCTAACGAAATACTTCCGAGTGCAAAGGGTTAAGCACCGACAGAACCGACTTCCCGAAGCCCGGACCCGTTTACGGCGCGGACCGTAAGCTTCTGCTCGAACTTCCAACAAAACCGCTCAAACGAGACCCTCCTCTTCGCCATCGGACGCAGTTCAAGCGCAAAAAGATCTATTCTTTGTCCGGGCAGAGCGGCGATTAACTTTCGTTGCACTCGAGTCGCTTGCTACTTCCTGGAAGCGCGGGGAATCGCTTGCGAAAAACTTTGCCGGCAGCTGCCGGGAGTAGAGAGGATCTTCCTTTAATTGTTTTTGCGGAAATTGCGGCAATGCTTCTTTCTATGTAAATTCCATTTCCCCGTTAACACTGGAACTACCGTAACGGTCAAAATGACTGGTCTCGATTCTTTTGTTTAGCAATTATTCGTATCTTCGAAGCATTGAATCATCGAAATGATTTTGAAAATATATAATTTCACTTGAACACTATGATGAATGTCTAAAGAAACTGAAAATCTATTGTCACAATTTTTATAGGAATTGCATATTAATCGTATTAAATGCTCGGCAGTTCTAGTGTTAATGGAAATTCGATGCATTCTAAATATTTTACTATTTCAATCACTAACTATGCTATGTTCTCCGAATGTTTTCTAACACTAGAACTACGTAGCAGTCAAAATGACTGGTTTTGGTTTTTTTATTTAGCAATTATTGATATCTTCGAAGCTTTGAATATTCGAAATGATTTTAAAAATAAATAGTTTCATTTGAATACTACAACGAATGCCTGAAGAAACTCAAAATAACCTATTGTTACAGTTTTCATAAGAATTGCATATTAATCGTATTAAATGCTCGGTAGTTCTAGTGTTAAAAGCATTGAATATTCGAAATGATTTTGAAAATAAATAGCTCCACTTAAGTACTATAACGAATGTCTGAAGAAACTGAAAATAATCTATTGTTAGTTTTCATAGGAACTGCATATTAATCGTGTTAAATGCTCGGTAGTTCTAGCGTTAACAGGAATGTAAAGAATATAATTGAAAAAAAAAGTTCTTAAAATCTTCAATTTTCCTATCTCCAGCCGAATGTTTGTATTATAACGTCGATGAAATACAACCGACAGAAATTAAATCTTTAATTTCAACGAGGAATCTGTTTTATCAATTAAACGCGAGGATTTTTAAGCTGACTGAAGCCGAGCGGCGACGACGAGTTAACTCGCTCTTCCCGGCGAAAGGATTAATTCTGAAAGAGTTAAACTGGACGGAAATCTCGTCGACGTTAACGATTCTAAGATTTTCCCAATCAGACTCCCCGGAGACTGGATTCCACGGGCAACGAAGTTACGATACTATCGACCCGGTGCGATTCGATTATATTCGACCGTCGGGAGCCAGTTAAAACGGCATCAGCGTCTACCTCGATTGGCTGAGACAACAACGACCGTCTATAGTTTAATCATTAATTAACGGAGCGCCGAAGAATCGGGAATGAGGAAGCAGAGGAAATCCGGAGGTGGAAAGCTTGCTGGAGAGAAGAATTTTTAAGCGGAAACAATGAAGTATCGAATTTATTTATCAGCTCTTAGTAAGTTTCAGGAAAACAGGGAAATCTAAGAAATTGTAACGTCATCGTTAGCACTGTAATTTTTTTTATCAAAATCAGAAGAATAGGATTTTTGAGAGTTAAAACTTTATATCAATTTTACTCGCAATTTAGGAACGATCAAAATAGTTTTCACGATCTGAATAAATTGTGAAATAGGAATTTTTCAAACGGTACATTCTGGTTCGTCTGCTAGATCTAGTGTTGTTTTGATTTTTTTGTTCCGCAATTATTGATATCTCAAAGGCATTGAATATTCAAAATTATCTTGAAAATCAGTAGTTTCACTTGACTACTATAATGACCGTCCGAAGAAACTGAAAATAATCTATTGTTATAATTTCTATGGGAATTATATATTAACCCTTTGCACTCCGAAGTTTTTCAGTAGAAATATTTGAACAATGTCTGATGAGATAAAGACGACATTGTTTGAAACTAATTTAACGATAATTCACAAATTAAATAAAATAGCTTTGTTGCTTAATTTATATATTATTATTACTAGCTAACATTGCAATACAAAGTTGCATTTAAAATAGTAAATATTCAACTTCATAGTTTTGCTGTATCAAATCAAATCAAGGGTAAACCCTTTACGCTCGAAAGTTTTTCACTTATAAATATTCTAATTTAAATTAGAAACATTCTATACTTTCTAATTTGACACAGACGAGATTCTTTAAAATGAATTTAACAAGAATAGTATATTAATCGTCTTAAACACACGGTAGTTCTACTGCTAAAGAAGTGAAACTGAATAAAAACGCATCCATAAAACACAGAAAAATTCACAGCGTCGAAAATTCCAAGTTAAATGAACGTAATAAAATAAAAAACCCCGAATTACCTCTAGTAGTAAATGATTCAAAAATTAAAAAATATCGAGTCCCCGAGTAACATTGTTATCAACCTGTTAACTAAAGAAT